GAAAAGGGTAAAAACCGACAGGAAATTATATATTTATTTTTTTTTATATTTATTTTTTTATTTAGAATTTTATTTTTTTTTTTTTTTTTTATTTTAATTTTTTTTTTTTGTAACATTTTTATATTTTTTTTTTTCTTTTTTTTGTTTTTTTCCTTTTTCCTCGTCTCTTTTCTCTTTTATTTCTTTTTTATTTTCTTTTCGTTTTTTCTCTTTTCCTCTCTTTTTGCTTTTGTCTCCCTCTTGCCCTTTTTGGGTACTCATTTTGGCTCTTCTCTATCATCTCAATTCTTCTGTTTTTTTTAGGTTGTTTCCTTTTCGCTCCCTTTTCTCTTTTTTTTTTTTTTGTATTTGATTGCTTTTTTTCTCCCCATCTACTTCTTTTCCTGTCTCTCTTTATTGGTTTGCAATCTACTTTCGTCTTTTCTCTCTTCCTGGTGTTTCTCTTTTTATCCATAATCTTTTTATTTTTCTTTTTTTTGTTTTCTAAAGTATTCTCTTTTTTTTTTTGTTATTTTTTATGAATTTCCCTCTTGCTAAAAGCCTACTCAGGCATAACACGTGCTATACCTGGCCTTGACCTATTTGGTTTATCGCTGTGATTTTTACATTGCTTTTCCTCATTGTCTATCCTTCCAGGTCTCTTTTTGCTCGGTCCTTTTTTTCTTTTCATTGTTCTCTGTATGTTTGTTATCTAGTTTGGGGTCGTCGTTTCTTTTTTTTTTCCTCGTTTTTTTTGTTTCTCCCCTCTCCATGGTCTTTTACCTCCCCTTGACTTTAATTTTTTTTGGGCTTTTTTTTTCAAAAACCCCGCGAAGTCCCTAATCGCACAAGGGTCTCATTTTTACTAACTCGTTAGGTTTAAGTCGTTTTTATTCGAGTCCACGCTGTGCTTGATTTTGTGTGTTTTTGGTTATCGGTGTCTTCCCTTCGTTTGACTGTTCTTCGTCTCTTTCTAGTACCCTCTGGGTCGGTTCAGGTTGTTCCCTAAACTTTAGATTTCATGTTTGGGTCCCTTTTTTTCGTTTGTTCTTTTTTTCTTTGGCTAATTGCTAAATTCTCTCCTATTATTTTTCTCTTCATTTTGAATTGTCTCCTTTGATTCCAAATTTGTTTGTTTAGTAGTGCTGGATGTCGGCAGTCTTGGGCTCCTGTTTTTTTCGTTCAAGAAGATAGCCTCTCTTGGGTGAAGGCTCTTTTATTCCTCTGTTAAGCTTGTCTTAATCTCTGCGTTTTGTTTCTATTACATGTCTTGTATTTATTTTTGAATTTTTAGTTTCAAAGGTTTCTGTTGATTTCTTTTTGTCATCCTTTATTATGTTCCGTTTTATTTATTATATTTATTGTCTTGTTCTTTTCTTTTTATGAATATTGTTTGATTTCTCCAATCATGCTTTTGCATTCGCTTGCTAGTCTGTGAGGTCTGCTCAATGCTGTTTGTTATGCTCTTTTTTCAATTATCTCTTGATTTGTTATGTTACACTTTTTTGTAGTTTGCTTCATCTAAATCGTGATGCGTCTCATCCCCCTTTTCTATTTCGCGCCGGCACGCGCCGCCCGCCTTTCCCCTTCGCCCTATTTTGTTTTCTCGTCTTTTTCTTTGTTTTTTCTCTACTGCTCTCTCTCTTTGTTTTCTCCTCCCCCCTGTTGGATAGCCCTAGGCAACCGACATGTATGAAGCTAGGTACTAGGGGGGATTGTATCAGCCTATACAATCCTACATGTGCAAGCAGGGTTCATACATGTCGTTTGCCTAGGGATATCCAACAAATCTGTTGCAGTACCCAGACAGGACAGCATTCGCCTTTACAGGGCTCATGCTGTCCTGTTTGGGCACTGCAACATATATTTGCAAGAGTTGTATGAGTTAACTGTTCAGTTGCGTTGGATCTACAGAGGGTGAAGAGCCCTGAGCCAAAGTAAAATCCTACACATGCAGTATATACTATAATGTAGACTGTATAATTTGTTTTCCCCCAATCAAGCTTCCCAATGTATCATGTATGCGCATTATAGAGCTAAAAGGTCTCTAGGCAGGCGATGAGAAGCAAGTGGGGGAATCTGGGACATGCACACTCAGAGGTCTTTAGGAACACCTGTGCACTTTAGGAAGCACTGTGCATGAAAGCAGTCAACCCAATTTGCAAATGTCTGCCCAATTTGCCAATTAGGGCAGTTAGCTTAGCTATAATTATAATACCACTGCTGAAGCCACTCTGGAACTGGTTGTGACTCTTTTGTTGCAGGAAGAAGTCACCAGTAGTTCCACAGGACAGAGATCCAGTGCACGAGGGACTAGTAAAGCTTCGTATGCTGCCTTTGCTCTCACCATTCTACCTGCTATCTTACTTTCCTACTCTCATTGATATAACAACACCAAATTTCTCCATTCTCTATTATGCTCTTTTACAAGCCACGACTCTGAATGCTATAATTATAATGAGTATAATTATTATGTGTTTACCATAGGAATTAGAGCTGTAATAATGTTAGCATAACCAGCCCATCAACAAGTGGGACTTGGACTAACAGCCCTACATGCTCTAACCACAGTTACACACATCAACACACCCAGGCAACTAAAGGGAAGACAACCTTTCACGTAATGCACAGGCAGCCACAACAAGGTTATGGTTGACTTTCCTCGTTGCATTTATGACATTTCCTTGTCACAACACCATGACAAGCTCTATTGGTTTCTTACTGTCCATCCTTGTTTGTAAGTTGAGTATTTTAGAGAAAGAAGCTTGGGTGAAGAGTGCTTCTGCATCATCTCTAGCCTGGGTTCACACTCAATGGCAGGAAGCCTATACTCGTGGAGGATATAGGGCTAGCAGGGAAAGTTTTAGGGAACCATCATAGCAGAGGGAATGATTCGATTTCCTGTGGTGTCAGAAATAAACAAGGATAAGTGGGCAGATAGTGTAACATGGGTAGGTACGCTGTTTACACTGCAGAAGCGCAGCATCGTGTTGGGTTTTCGATGGCACCGGTAGCTCTGCGTGACGAGCGTGATATCTGCGGGATTTCAACGCAGGTCGCAGGATTCGAGGGAATTCCGTCCATAGCTACTATTTACCGCTTCATCTGTATTGGACGGCCTATACACCTACCGTAGCAGGGGCGTAGCTGCCAGGAGAGTCGAGGTGTGGGGTTTCCCGCCAGCATTGCGCATGTGCGTAACTACGCGTGGTTGCGTGTGTACGTGCGCTTGCGCACAGGTGTGTCAACAACGCGGGTGGAAGACGAATATTTTCATGTGAGAAAAATGAATAATATAGGCATTGCTCACCGGCCGTCTGAGGTAAAAGCTGAAAGAGGACAGGCGCTTCATCTCTCACCTCGCAGCTCCAGTCACAAGTGCGCACGCGAACGTAGCAATTAGGACCACGCCCATTTTTCGGCGATCAAAGGGGGTTTCCGGGCAATGTACATAGCTAGCTACGCCCTTGCTACGGACCGGACGTCCTTAGTGCCCGGCGCGCGCGCCATTGCGTAATGCGCCCGGCGGCAGTCTCTGCTATAAACTGCAGAATTATTCCCGTCATTGGCCATTCGTGCAACTGACTGCGCTGCAAACCATCTGCACGTAAAACGAAGACGATGACGAAGGTGCTGGTGGTGTGCCTATTGCCGGCTCTGCTGGCCACTGCTGCCCTTGCAATCGGCTCCCGCACTGACCTGAACTCTACCTGCTACCCACAAGGTATAGTACTGCAGCTAAAACCTGTGATCAATATCTACACCGCTACGGGCGCTTGCGAACTCCAGCGACACGATAATCCGCTGCGCTATAGCTGCGCAAACTTTACACCTGCAAAATATTGCACGATGTTATACAAAACTGCATGAGCACTCCAATAAAGCTCCACGCGCATTGTCTGCTGGCCTGCACTGTTAGCTATTGAATGATTGTTGGACTTGTCCACCACAAACACAGCCTCTCCTACGCAATCAAATTCTATGATGTCCTGATTTTGATATTCATACGTGCCAAATATCTCACATGCAATTATGCTTGTCCAATCAGTGCCAGAGAGTTGTCCAGGTGACGCTACCTTGTGTCCCACCTGTTGCTGCAACTCCAGTTCCAACGTTGAATTCTACAATCCCGACCAACCAGAGCCTGAATGCACTGCACCTCCGGCCAAATACGAGATGCGCTTCGTCTTCACCTGGAGCGGTGTCTGCCACCCCGACTACTATTTCCCCGGGGAGTCTCTATGGAGCCCACCCACTGGAGTCTCACATAACCCCCAGTACAGGATGTGGGACGCATGTATGGACAACGCCAGTCCCGGCGTGGGGCTTGTATCGCAGACGGGGGACACAAGTGTCATAAACATGGAGTACATGCAGAACATGGCGAATATCCTGGACACGACAGAGGGGGAGCTGGTTAAGCCGGGATCCGGAGTGACCTCCAGCTACCTCATCGTTGACAAATACCACCAGTACGCGTCGGCCATCTCGATGCTCGTCCCCAGCCCTGATAGATTAGTGGGTGTGGCCGATCTTCGTCTCTGTGATGGAACCCAGTGGAAACAAGAGGTCAAGGTCTGCTTCGAGCTGTTCTCAGACTGCAACCGCCTCGGATAAAGTTGTCGATCCAATGGAGCGAAACAGCGTCCAGGCTAACAACTGCAGCTTTGGCTACGTCAGTTTCATCCTAAAACCTGAGGTAGCATTGACCACCAAACATTCCCCTCTCTTTGTGCCATGTTTGATCTATTTTACTGTAAATATATATGTATATTCCCTGCAGGATGAACCAAGGTCCGAGGTTGATGAAACCTGTGAACCTCTGGGTAGGTCAGCTAATTACTCCACTGTGATTAATATTGGAATTGGACAAATAGAGTTATACCATATATGCACAAGTGGAAAAATCAAGGGTATAGGGATGGTTTGAAGCACCAAAAAGGAAGAAACAAGTGGTCATTACACAGCAACTACATGACACCATCCCTATATCTTTGTTCCATTTATTCATAGGCAAGGTATATATCAGACAAAGATATGGGATGGTGTCATGTAGCTTGGTGCATCTTTGCTGTGTAATGACCCCTTGTTTCTTCCTTTTTGGTGCTTCAAGCTTTCCCCATATGCCCCTTCATTTTGAAGAAAAGATTTTTCCACTTGTTTCCACTATTATCTGACAGCACTGAATTTTCCTGTTGAGAGGTTGACCATGAAGAAATGTTAACTGCGTGGCAAAGTGAAAGCACTAGACCCTAGCATTTGTAGTGTCAAGACCCTAGAATTGGTATATAGTGACATGTTGTTGGATATACGTAGCCAGGGACACTAAAACCCTGAAGGTCTCACAACCAGTAGCTAATGGCTGCTGGTGCCTGAAGCAGGGGGCAGTGCATAAATACACAGATGACTATTATATTAGGTTTTGCACAGTTGTGGCTTCATGGGCAGGCTTTAGTACAATGTTAGGTACCTGCAAACAATGGAGGCTATATACACACGCCGCCACGCCTTATGCAGTGGCGATGCTGGCTTACGCGGTTCCTACCACGTACCATATGCATGCAGTTACCCTGTGTGCTCATGTGGGCAAGGGGTGAAGTGATCGGTCTGTATGTCTGTCCTCGGGGGGCACTAGAATCGCTAGATATAGGTGCAATTTGAAGGGCAGCCAAATCATCATTAACGGACAATGACATGCTCACTTTATGCACATGTGATAAAACCACAATACCACGTGGGGTATGTGCTCCTCAGATTTCCTTTTGCTTTCTGGTAGTCAAGTAGGAATGTGCCATGATTGGCTTCCAATGTGTTTCCTGTTGGGTTCCCTGGTGCTTCCTTCATTTATAACTATTGAGCCTTAGCTACAATCGTACACTCTCTTCTTCACAGTCCCAAAAGAGTGCCTGGGAAGGATCAGTGACACAGAGTGTCCAAGTTGCTGCTGCGAGTCTACTGATAATGTTGAGTTCTATGACCCCAACTTCCCCGAGCCTGAGTGCACAGCAGTCCCAGCATATTACAATGTCGATTTCGTCTTCACCTGGAGCGGCGTGTGCCACCCCGACTACTACTTCCCCAACGAGTCCAAATGGAGCCCACCCACTGCAGTATCGCACAACACGCAGTACAGGATGTGGGACGCCTGTATGGACAACGCCAGTCCCGGCGTGGGGCTTGTATCGCAGACAGGAGGCACAAGTGTCATCGACCAAGAATATGTTCTTGCGGGGGACAACATTTACGGCATGGTTGAGGGAGACTTGGTTCCTACTGGAAGTGGAAGGACATACAGGAAACTCAAGATCGACAAATCCCACCAGTTTGTATCGGGTGTCTCGATGCTCGTCCCCAGCCCCGATAGATTGGTGGGTGTGGCCGACCTTCGCCTCTGCGACGGTGACCAGTGGAAGAGAGAAGTACAGGTCTGCTTCGAGCTGTTCTCGACTGCCACGGCCACAGCCAAGGTGGCCCCCGAAATGGAGAGAAACAGCGTCCAGGAAAACAACTGCAGCTTTGGCTATGTCAGGTTCACCCTGGAGCCTCAGGTACAGAGCAACATCTTGGTTGTATAAGTACTTCAGTATTTCATCTGTTACTACAGGAGGAACCAAGATCTGGGGAGACAAGATTTGAAGTTGCAGAAACCTGCGAGCCACTTGGTGAGTGATTCATGCTAGAGAGAATTTGAAGGAACTCGCCCGCACGACCATTGGGTCTATTGCACATGCCTATGGTTGTATGTCATCAGGGGGCATGTCCGGCCACCTCGAGTAGTGTGGGTGATATCGAACTTCAACAGTAAGTTGGCCTCTAGGGAGCCATTCGGATAGTTTTTCCACCAGATACATACATACACAACACGATTGCATTACCCCTGCTGCACATATGCGTACATGGGTAAAAACATCTGAAACCCACTTTACCATTCAACAAGGTCTTTGTTTTTTTTTCAATCTTAGTTCCCAAAGAGTGCCCGGGGAGAATCAGTCAGTGTTCCTCTTGCTGCTGTGAATCGAGCGAAAATGTAGAATTCTACGAGCCAAGCTTCCCCGAGCCTGAGTGCACTGCAGTCCCAGCATACTACAATGTCGATTTCGTCTTCACCTGGAGCGGCGTCTGCCACCCCGACTACTACTTCCCCAACGAGTCCAAATGGAGCCCACCCACCGTGGTCTCACACAACACCCAATACAGGATGTGGGACGCATGTATGGACAACGCCAGTCCCGGCGTGGGGCTTGTATCGCGGACAGGAGGCACAAGTGTCATCGACCAAGAGTATGTTCTTGCGGGGGACAGCATTTACGGCATGGTTGAGGGAGACTTGGTTCCTACTGGAAGTGGAAGGACATACAGGAAACTCAAGATCGACAAATACCACCAGTTTGTATCGGGTGTCTCGATGCTCGTCCCCAGCCCCGATAGATTGGTGGGTGTGGCCGACCTTCGTCTCTGCGACGGTGACCAGTGGAAGAGAGAAGTACAGGTCTGCTTCGAGCTGTTCTCGACTGCCACGGCCACAGCCAAGGTGGCCCCCGAAATGGAGAGAAACAGCGTCCAGGAAAACAACTGCAGCTTTGGCTATGTCAGGTTCACCCTGGAGCCTCAGGTACAGGGCAACACATTGGTTGTATAAGTACTTCAGTATTTCATCTGTTACTACAGGAGGAACCAAGATCTGGGGAGACAAGATTTGAAGTTGCAGAAACCTGCGAGCCACTTGGTGAGTGATTCATGCTAGAGAGAATTTGAAGGAACTTGCATTGGTTCCATTGCACAGTCTTAGTATAGGTAAGACGGCAGATTCGAGTGTCTTCGTGGTTCTAAAGCCCGCGTGGGAGGTTGGAATGCGCAATAGTAACCGAGGCGGAGCCGAGGTTTCTATTGCGTCATTCCAACTGACCACGCGGGCTGCAGAACCACGAAGGCACGAGAATTTGCCATCTTATTGTTAAGAAAATGGATAGCCGTACGGTTGGCTGTAGCTCATCCGCCTTCAACCTTGGTTGGTAGCAGCTCTTTGAAGAAAGCACCGGGGAGGAGAGTTCTCCCAAGCCGATACCGGGCGCAATCCATGATTGCATCGATGCTGGTAAGAACTGACTATTAGCGGCGGCGCCTCAATTTTTCGACGGTAGCCCGGCAGGGGAGAGGCCTCCCGATTCCACACTGGGCACTGTCTAAGACTTCGTCGACGATGACTGAGAATCACTGTTATTAGCAGCATCGTAACTGTTCGAGTCAGGGCGAGGTCTGAGCAGTCTCAGCTCGTGATCGTCGCTTCTGGACACCCCGGTCTGCACGTACTGTAATAAACGAGAGGGTCTCAGTTAGAAGTAAGCCACCTAACCGCAGGTATCTTATCGCTAAGAGACCTGCGTGTAGGTGTCTTAGCCCAAAATGAACCTCATTAGCTATTCATTTTCAAAGCATTCTTGACATACCATTTTCTTATGGCGAGGGGGCATGTCCCGCCTCCTCGAGTAGTGTGGGTGATATCAAACTTCATTAAGTTGGCCTCTAGGGAGCACGATTGCATTACTCCTGCTGCACATACGCGTACATGGGTAAAATCGTTTGAAACCCACCCATTCAACAAGTTCTTTGTTTTTTTTCAATCTTAGTTCCCAAAGAGTGTCCAGGGAGAATCAGTCAGTGTTCCTCTTGCTGCTGTGAATCGAGCGAAAATGTAGAATTCTACGAGCCAAGCTTCCCCGAGCCTGAGTGCACTGCACCGCCAGCATACTACAACGTCGATTTCGTCTTCACCTGGAGCGGCGTCTGCCACCCCGACTACTACTTCCCCAACGAGTCCAAATGGAGCCCACCCACCGTGGTCTCACACAACACCCAATACAGGATGTGGGACGCCTGTATGGACAACGCCAGTCCCGGCGTGGGGCTTGTATCGCGGACAGGAGGCACAAGTGTCATCGACCAAGAGTATGTTCTTGCGGGGGACAGCATTTACGGCATGGTTGAGGGAGACTTGGTTCCTACTGGAAGTGGAAGGACATACAGGAAACTCAAGATCGACAAATACCACCAGTTTGTATCGGGTGTCTCGATGCTCGTCCCCAGCCCCGATAGATTGGTGGGTGTGGCCGACCTTCGTCTCTGCGACGGTGACCAGTGGAAGAGAGAAGTACAGGTCTGCTTCGAGCTGTTCTCGACTGCCACGGCCACAGCCAAGGTGGCCCCCGAAATGGAGAGAAACAGCGTCCAGGAAAACAACTGCAGCTTTGGCTATGTCAGGTTCACCCTGGAGCCTCAGGTACAGGGCAACATCTTGGTTGTATAAGTACTTCAGTATTGCATCTGTTACTACAGGAGGAACCAAGATCTGGGGAGGCAAGATTTGAAGTTGCAGAAACCTGCGAGCCAGTTGGTGAGTCAGTTCCCTTTAATCAAAACCCGCTAATCAACCAGGGGTAGCTAATTAGCCCTTTGTGTCAATTAAAACCCTCCAACGCCCCTTTTCTCAATATAAATTTTTTATATACTGCTTATACAAAAGTAAAAACACACCCAGATTAGCAAATGTGGTCTTCTTCCAGCTTTAGAGAAATCCGTTCATTTTTTCCTGCAGTTCCCAAAAAGTGTCCTGGGAGAATTAATGAGTCGCAATGTAGCACTTGTTGCTGCGAATCAACTGAGAATGTCGAGTTCTATGACCCGACCTTCCCTGAACCAGAGTGTACTGCAGACCCAGCCTCCTACAACATTTCCTTTGTCTTCACCTGGAGCGTTCCCTGCCACCCTGACTACTATTTCCCCGGAGAGTCTATATGGAGCCCACCCACTGCAGTATCGCACAACACGCAGTACAGGATGTGGGACGCCTGTATGGACAACGCCAGTCCCGGCGTGGGGCTTGTATCGCGGACTGGAAACACAAGCATCATCAACCAAGAGTATGCTCTCGCAGGGGACAACATCTCCAATATAACGGAGGGAGACTTGGTTCGTCCCGGAAGTGGAATGACGTCCAGGATTATGATGGTTGACAACAAACACCAGTTTGTGTCTGCCGTCTCCATGCTAGTCCCCAGCCCAGATAGATTGGTGGGTGTGGCCGACCTTCGTCTCTGCGACGGTGACCAGTGGAAGAGAGAAGTACAAGTCTGTTTCGAGCTGTTCTCGACTGCGACTGCGTCGAATAGAGCCTCTCCCGAGATGCAGCGAAACAGCTTTCAGGCCAACAACTGCAGCTTTGGTTACGTCAGACTCATCCTGAATGCCGGGTCACCTTCAATCACCTCTCTACCGTTGGCGTTTCTATCAGCTCTCGGGGTCTTGGTGGCAGCTATACTGAGCCTCTGAGTCAACTCAAATCTTCCTTCATGTATAGTTAGATTATTCCTGCGGCAAAACCCTACCACCTTGTTTTCCGGCTTAAGTATTATGTAACAGTGCTCTAATTGTTCTCAGGCCGTAGTTTAAAATTGAAATATTATAGCTGTGCATCATATATCGTAGTTTTAAGAAAACATTAGTGAATGAGATGCTGCAAGCCATTATTATAAGCGAGACTGGCGAGTTTTGTTAAACCCTAAAGAGAATGTTGGCACTATTAAAGGAGTATACTGTATGTTCCTGAAAACGAAAACCTAACTGCACTCTTGCACTCTATAGGGGCGTTTCATCATTTCTATATTTAGCCCTTATGTACAGCCAGATCACCTTTGAGGTTCATTTTGCCAAACAAGTAGTCTACTTGGGAGTGGTGCACTCTCTCAATTATGGATAATATGGTCTATGATCACAGTGATCAACACACTCTGTAGCTACCCATTATGCGCCGAGGATTTGCACTTTAATTTACACTCTTCCCATTCAAGTAATGGGTGATGGTCTGATGGATAAGCACCCCCTCTCTTGATCGTGAGGTCCCTGGTTCGATCCCGGGTGTGCGCCTTTTTTACAATGATGTGTATGTAGTGTTGGTATAACTGGAACGTTTTTTCATCACCTCTCAAGGCCAGCCCGAGTGGCTAGGTGGTTAGAGTCGTGGGGACTGACACCGTAGGTGCCCGGTTCGTATCCCGATCCCGCACTAAAGTGTCAGGTGGTCCAGAGCATTGGCTGGGAACAGCTCTGGTTCCTCCCCTTACCCACAAATCTACCACTGACCCATGCTTCTCAAAGGGCAGCGTATAGTTCGGCATAGCACTGCGTCCGTAGACGTCTGTCTGGAGAGATGAAGGGCTGGCCGTTTTTTACATTTTTTTTCAAGTAGGTTTTTGTTTTGCACTAAACAATCCGCGGGTAATACGAAAATTAATAGAGAGATGAAAGCTTGGCAATTTTTCAACCTTATATATATTTTTGGCCTCAAACAGAAATAGGGCTGGCCATTAACATGCTGTTCTTTTTGATGCGTGGTCAAGACCATCAATTGTGGTGGTGCCACACTTGTGTATGGGTTCCACATTTCTATAATAGTGTGCCGAGGGTTTGCACTTTAGTGCTTTTCATTTTTTATACCTAGTAATCGATGTTCTTAATACTGTTTAAAAGGTGCTATAATTATACTGCACCTATGGCCACGCTGTCAGCAAAGTGGGGCAAAAAATAATGTGATCAATGTTTTATGATACATACAAAGCTTACTCAATCAGCATGTGGGATTCAAAGAATTACAAACCTGCATTACGGAAGATACATGCATGAAAATACTGTGTGTATAGAGAGGACTCTACCACAGTTCACATTTGTCCTCTGGGTTCATAGCAGAGCCCTCCTTACACTGGAAGGCCTCTGGGAATTCTTTACTGTTTACTATAGCACCAATCACCCTGCATGAGAGAAAGAGTGGGAGAGTTATAATTCTATGGTGATCTGAAGTGAAACAAGATAGTAAGTGGTGAAAGAGCAAAGAAACATTTCATGAAGATTGGAAGTTAGGTGTGCTCAACATGAAAGCTCACAACAAAGGTTAAGGTAGATTTTCTCTTTAAGTTAGCCATGAGGATTTGTTTAGGATAAGTGTGTGCTCGTGCTTTTGTTGGATTTGAACCATGATAGCTCACAAATCATGATGCAAAGATGGTCGCTTCTTAATAACTACCCCCTCCCCTCTCTCTTCCTCACCCGACCAAGTTACCTGAAAGGTCCAGGACTGTGTTCGTCTGTCTTTGTAACACTGGCAATGTACTCCTCAGTATAGAGGGAACACCACGACTGCATATGTGATGGGTATTATACGAAAACTATGATAATTATGTCTTAACAACTTGGTATAATTATAGAGGTATATAGAGAGGCAAGGCAAGGCAAACGAGTCTGCACAATAGCCAACTAGAGCTACTGCCGGTATCTTCGATCGGCTAACACAAGTGCAGTAGAGAGAAAGAAAACAAAACTTTTGTCAGAAGTCAGACTCTGATCCGTTGCATTGGGAAAACAATGCACTTAGTTGTATATATATGAATGAGTGAAAAAATGTGCGATGATTCAGCTTACCTGGGCATAGCCTATGAAGTAGAGCTGCTCAGGTGTGTACTGGAGAGCAGGGAGCATCGGTTGCTCTGTGGTGTTCATGAGTTTCTGAAATGCCTGGTAGCTGGTATGGAGACCTCCGTTGTCAGCTATGTTTTCCCCCAGTGTAAGATTACCACTCACCTGGTTTGATATTGTATAGTAAAACCTCGCTAATGCAACTGCTATATTAATTAATTTCGTAGTTAGATGTACATGTACAAGGGTTGCATTCCTCTATTTGGAAAAGCTGTGTGGTGCTGAACACACTGGGAAAAAGCAGAAGAGTCTCAGACTTCCACCTGGTGTGCTTGTGTGCCTTGTATCATTATTTCTTCTACTATGTGCACCTACTATATAGCTAACAGTCAAATTTTGAACAGCCGTGTGGCATCATTAGGAAATATAAATGGCTAAATATTCACAAACTGCTAATAAAAAAACGGAAACTTTAAGACAGTCTTATACCGGCCCTAATGTGGAGTATCTTTGGTATCATTGAAGTGTAGCTAGTATAACATGCAGAAGCTCTCACGTTGTATCCAAACATCTCATACTGGGAGTACTGTTCTTCGAAGCAGGTCTGTCTCTCTCTGAAGGCCTCCACTGAGCTATTGGTCCACCACTGATGCAGGATACCATCCTTATCATACTGCTGACCTAATGGGAAGAACCCAATCTCACATTTAGCCTTAAAGGAAATGCGGCAGTATATAGAAATTTCAGCAATAGGGGCACAGTGCAATTGAGTTCTGTTTTTAGTAACATTTCTAAATTTAGCTCTTATATACTACAACATTCCCTTTACATCATGAGCAGATCTTTCACAAGGGTAAGTTGACTTCCAGAGTTGAAAAGACTCAGTAGTTATATACCATGGGTTATACATAATCCCTTAATGATCCACCTTCCATTGAGCAAAATCTGTATAAGTCATCAGTTGCCCCATTTCCTCAGAGTAAACTTTGAATTAGGTTTTCCTAAGTGTAGCTAACCGAGCACAGCATGTGACCCTACTCTAATCACTGAAATAGCTACCACCAGGTGCATACGAACCTTCGTCATCGAATCCATGTGTCAGTTCGTGACCAATAATAACTCCCAGAGCACCATACAGGAAATATCTGCCCAAATAAACAGTGAATAAGCTACTAACACACAACGATGCCTGCCTATGACTCACTCTGGCCAGCCAGCGTGGAAGAACGGCGAGTTCAGAATGCCTTCCAAGAACACTAGATTCAAATAGAAGACAGATCGTGATATTGACTGTGCTCATATCATTTCTGTGCCCCTAAATTACCAAATTGATTGAACTGAGGGCTGTAGTAGGCATTTACTGCAGTTGGAGCATTCAGCCACCTGTCACACAACAGACGTAGCATAATATAGTATTACAATTTTGGACTAAAGTTGATGTGGGCCATCATACACTGATTTGTCGACTGGGGTACGTAGGCTGGCAAAGTTCTCAACATTAGAGATGATAATGTACTGCAGGTAGTTTTCAAAGTAGCCATCTTCCGTCATATTGAACTGCAAGAAGAGAAAGCAACACACATAATGATTTTTATACTGTAAGAGGGCCACTCTCAAAAAGGGAACTTGAAAGGGAATACTAGTAGCTACCCGTAAACAAGGAGTTTCTGTATCCTCTTGTTTAGGGCAAAAGCACACACTGTAGTTCATAATCCTGGACACTTACCAAGGCATAGAGTTCATCAAGGTATGTGTCATTGCTAATTTGGTCGGGGTAGGCCACCATTTCTGTCATGGCGTCGACTTTCTCTGCACACCTCTCCTTCGTGGTGTCATCCAGCCAGTCCTTGTCCTCGAGTCTGGACTTGAAAGCCTCCTTCACCTCTTCTATCATCTCAGTTACATTCTCCTGGGGGGCCAAATTACTAGCTGGGAACTGGAACATGTTGCTAGTAGCTAGATTTGATAGCTAGTCTCTACACGAAGAAAGTTGGCATATATTTCCCCTCTCTCCTTGCCCCCAATTCCATTAATATCAACCTACCATTTACTTTTCTCTGAAGCATACAAAACATACGCATCATTTAAAATTCCACATTGCACAATCCTCCATGGAATAAAAAACCCAATATAATATTCTATGGAGGCTCTGGAGTCTGGACACATTCAAGCATCTGAATTAATGCTGCCTGTGACCAGTGTAATAATCCTCTGAACCACCTCAAACCTTGGTTCCATTCGGTAGGAGGTAGTCGGTATACGGCCGTGCGAGGGCCAAGGGCATGATGTTCTGTGTTACAGAGATGCAGGTCTGGTAGCGCTGTCGCGAGCCTTGGCCGGTGGTGGCCTCGTTGAATGTATCCACCAGTGAGAGGAAATCAGAGTCGAGTCGCGGGAGGTAGCGACCGATCAGCTGCCACTTGGCATAGCTCTCTAAAGTACTGAGGATGTTGCAGACATTAAGGAGACATAATATTCAAGCTTTTTTGTTAGTAACTGTAGTACTATTTCTTAATAGAATAGAGGCAGTGCAGGTTACTGATGATAAGGTTTATTAACCCTCGGCGCGCATGCGCCAGCGAGTTACTGTTCCTCTCCGTAGGGTGCGTGGAGCCGCGCGGGGGGGCGGGTTGCGGTAGCGGGCCCTTGGCAAGCCGCGTAGGTGGCCGAGCGAGGGGCGGTGGATCCCCTCTCAGAGGGGCGGGCGGGTAGGGCTGCCGGGGAGTTGATCGGCCTAGCGAAGTGCGGAGACCTTGGGGGGGGCCTTGCTCGTGCCAGCACCTAGGTTTGTCGCGCCCGTCGTGGCGCCGGGCCCTGGGTATGGGCCTCGGTGGCCTTTTAGTGGCGGGATTGCGCGAGAGTGCGGGTTCAGCTGAGGGTTGGGGCGCGCAGGGACTCATCCCCCCTGCTGTGCCCTCGGCCCTCAGATCGGGGCGCCAGCCGGGGAGATTGTGAGTGCGACACCTCGTTTGTCGCGGCTCGAAGAGGGCGGCCGTCTTGGTTTGAGGCCGTGGTGCCAGACTGGGGCAGTGAGAGGCGGGTGGGGGTGTCAGCGAGCACTAGCAGGGGGGGGTCGGTCGGAGGCGCGGGCGAGGTGACGGGTCGGGCGGTGCGTGGGGGGCGGAGGAGGCCGTAGGTTCGTTTTTTGAGGTCGACCCCGGGCCCTTTGTGGCAGGGCTTGACTCACGAGGAGGGCGCTCGCTCCGCGTCGTACTGGGGGTCGTCCGTTCCTTGACAGCGGGGCGCGAGGGGGGTGGGCCTGCGCCTCCGAACCGAGGATGGCGTCGGGCTGTAGAACGGGCGCTAGCGGGGGAGGCTGGGAGGTTTATGGACTGAGGGGTAGTTGGGAGGGGGTCTTGCCAAGGGAAGGTGGGGTCACGGGCGTTGTTGATTGAATTGTATAAGAGAAAGATCCCTTCGATTCGTGTTTCTAGTATTTGTTTTTGTAATATTTTATATAGTTTATGGGGTTTACTTTGCAGCTGGCTATTGAGGCCTGGGGGGGTGTTTGTTAGTGTGGTCGGGTGTTAAGGTGCTTTTACGATAGTTGTAGTTTTTTTTTTTTGTCCCGTAGTGTCAGTCTGTCTGTTACCACGTTTTCTGCCACCGCGCGCCACGAAATCAGGTAAATAGCGATATGATCGGGTTCAGTGCTACACTGGGTTGATTTTTAAAAAGGCGATTTTCGTAAAACTACCGTGTTTTAAAGTTATGGCGTGAAACCCAAGTGAACAAGCCAATTGTAAATTAGCACAGGCTTTACCTCGACCGCGTCCGTTCGCTCTGTGTGTCTTGAAGGCACAACAAGTCACAACGAAGGGCATGTATCGACTCACGCATGCTATTTACTACTGTAGCTAGCCCGTGCCAGACTCTCCGCGAGCTACTAGCGGGATACCACGAGTAAAGGCATACAAAACCCAGCCCATCAATTAGTGGTACCGCACATGCGCAGTTCGCCGAGGGTTTGCACTTTAGTGCTTTTCATTCGAAGGGTAAGACTAGACACCAATACGTACGTACCTAAGTGCACACTTTGGCTCCACTCATGTTTGTGTATGATTACCTGATACTTTTCTCTTTGTTCCCCAGTTAAATTTTGGCAAAAGGCATTGTAAACAGCTCACGCTTTCACATAATTAAAGAAAGTAGAAAACAAGAGAGAGAGAGAGAGAGAGGAGGACTCCTTCCTATTAGGTTGTGTTTTTAGCAGCGAATGTGCAATAACATTTCCGTTTCTTTTGTCTCTGGTATATATTATGCTAACACAACAACACATACCTCTCATTGGCTGCAGCAAAGACGTCGGTGAGGTTGGTGAAAGTAGGTCGGTGTCCGTACGATAATCGGTTCACTGGCATTAACAGTAATGTTGGTGGTGTTCTCAACTATCACCGTCACAAACGCCTCCCAGTCCAACTGTGCAAGAAATACAGGGGAACCTCATGTAATAGAAACTTTGAATTAATTGCTACGAAAATTATGAATGAAGGATCACTTTGTACGATGGGATTTCCCACTGTAATTCAGAGGCTCTGGCGATGAGCAGTTTACTCCATTGAATGCAACAGAACAACTACTCACTGTACCCACACCAATCAATACATAATGTTGTTGTATTAGTGTAATTGCAGATATTATGTTTCAAAGCTGAGTACAGCTGTTGAAGCAATTAAGACATACGTCAGGCCAGAGGGAAGACAGGTCTTCTAGAGTCATCTTGTTGTACACCTTCTCGGGATCCCTCATATCGGTTTTACTAACAAACACCTGCAGACATACATACAACACCAGTATATATAGCAGGAAGTACTGTAAAGAACTCATCGGCAACAGAGTATTATGAAACACGGTGCACAATGATACTAACACGTTACCTCTGCTAGACTGGTCTCAAACTGGACAATTTCACCTGCTGCCTGTTGGTACTCAGCTTCATCAACTATAGTATTATATGCAGGCAACAAATAAAGTTGTGGGCATTCAAAAAAAATACTAATGGTATACAGCTATGCACCTGAAGAATTGATTAGGAGGAGTACTGATGTGATGAAAGTTCGAAGAGCCTCTTTACTCTGTCGAACGTGATGACCATTATTAGCTCAATGCAAGTGTCATTATACAAACTCAGTCTTACCTGTTCGGCAGTTCTGTTGTCAGAGTAGCTCTGACTGCTGGGTAGACTCAGCCCTTCCTGAGAGAGCTGTTCAGAAAACAACATTTCACACACACACTCTGTTCACACAAGGGCACGATTCACCGTCAATACGCTGACAGACGAGTTCTTATCGTCAACATCGACACTCAGACTGAAGAATGCGCGACTCCCCACCAGCTTCTCCAAGATGAACTCACTGCTGTTGATACTCCATGAACTGTAGGCCTCAATATCCAGGTCTGACGATGGGGGTATCCCCACCAGGTCCCATCCACCTATTGAAGATACATGTAGATACCTCTCACTTTTCTTTTCTGTTTGATCATTTACCTCTGCCACTTTCGAATTGGCTCTCATTAGCTTACAAATTTAACTGCTTGCTTTCTTATCCAGGAACTGCCCGAACCTCATTAAGGACACTCACTAGCTTGCAAACTAAACTGCTTAGCTACCTAGGGAGATAACATACTGTGGACCGAACCTCACGAAACCATTAAGGGCACTAACAGACAAAAAAATGGGGCAGGTGGTCTACAATTTGCCATCCCCTTGATAAAATATGTTTCGGAATGAGCAACACATCTGCCTCCATATTGACCTAAACTGTCAAGTTTGCACCATATTGTGATACAGTAGCATTGAAATGATTATCATACTGGCCTGTTATTCTGTCTCACCAGTGGCCTGAATGAGGTAAATGAGAGGCTCTGCTCCCAGAGAATCGATGGTGTCAGTGTCCAGACAGGACTGGTAGAGAGTCTTCATCTTCTGCACTGCCTCCACGTCCTCATCTCCCTCCAAACTCAACACCTGCTCACACCATTCACAAATTTAGTTGAACTCAATATCCCACCACATTGAAGAGACCTTATTCTCGTCTAATGTATTACAGCTATCATAACAAATAATATTATAGCTAGCTGACCTTATGAAGTAGGATGGAGTTGAGGTCTGAGAGTTGACTAAATTTGGAGTAGGTACCATAGCCTGGGGGTGAGTGTGAAGGAGGGAGCAAACAGATGAACTAGCGTCAATCACAATGTCAATAATAATTATAAAGATTTTCCAGATATCATGTATAATTATGCATAAGTGTGTGTTAAAGCAGAGAGTTCAATTTGGCAAAGGAATTAGTCGGCCTACTTTGTCACACGATCGCACCCTTTTCTGAGACAGACATTGAAAATGTATTGATGGTCTTGCTCACTGCTTCACGTTTAAAACTCATTGTGTTTGGGTTGGTAACAATATTATGCACAAACCTTCAGGAACGATATTAGTGGCCTCCCATCCGCCGCAGGAGAAGTTGTAGAAGTCCTCGCAGGGATCGATGCTCCGGTCCATATTGTCCAGCACGAGAGCTGCTAGTGTGACGCAACTCTCCGTCATGCAGACAGTGTTGGTGGGGGTGGGGGAGGGGGAAGGCGAGGGGGAGGGGAGAACGGTACTGGTGTGAGGAGGTGAGGCGGAAGAGGAGATTATAGAGGAAGATGAAGAGGAGGAAGAAGTGCGGTGGCTGATTCGGCCGTTGGCTGCAACACTCACACCCAAACCCACAGCGAGACCTGGGAGCAATTTCAAAAATCCCTTCCTTTAAGGTAATTTACAAAGGCCTTGACACCCCAACTAAACCATCAAAGTGTGTTGCTTATTATGGAGAGACAAACTCTCAAAAAAGGGACACCTTGCAAAACTTTTCCGGTAACTTTTAGGTTGTCCGTGCCAGCACTTGCGTGCTTACATTACACTTTTATATTATGATAAGATATTCCAAATTTTATATCTATGCTACATGCTCGTAAACCTGATTTTACAAACCTGTGTTTTCATCCACTTAAGCCCCACGACAATCTCATACTATGCACGAGGTATCGTAGCAGACCTCACCAACAATAGCAGAGGTAGCTACAATGAGGACCAGTGTCAGAACGACAACGGTGAATCGCAGACACGAGTAGCTGCCGGGAGACTTTGAGTCCCGCGCATTCAGTAACTGTTGCTCGTCCTCCATGTTCATCTGCCTGGACCAAAGACAACAAGTGCTATTTATAACTGGACGCAAAGCTGCAAAGGAGGACTCCATTCAACTATAGCTCTTTCGTGCTTTTAACGCAACACGCTCATTCAGTAGGTCAATAGGTGATGCAACTCTAAGTACAGGCTTACAGAACCATGTGACCATGTATCTACATTAGCACTACATACATACAACAGTATAAAGCCTAGTGGTCCTTTGTGCAAATATTGCGTAAAAAGAGTCAGAAGAGCCGCGTAATTTTTGACCCTGACATGACGTTGACAAGCATTATATATAGGTAGCGCACCCAACAGTAAGATATCGGTAAATTATGCTTTAAGTGATCTGTAAATGCACAAAGGTAGTTATTTGGCATCACTCCATGTTGGCTATCACAGTGAAATTCAGTGCTACACAGTCAATCTATGGCTGCTAACAGTACTGGTAGGAGCACCATATCACTTTGGAACACAAAATAATGGGATATGAAGTTGCAGGGGAAACGTATAAGTATTTGATTCTGAGCATAAATACACTCTAAATGTCTACATACTGAGAAAGCTATATATATAATATTCCTAATATATACACACTAGCTCGCGCATTGTTCATTATAATACTCGTTCACAGTGGCTAACATCAATTGCGAGGGAAACTGACCGAAAGCTCTGATACTGTCCTGATGCTGCCATCAACCGCTAGACGTTGACACCTGCGTCAAGGAGCCTGGGCCCACTGTAGCTACACAGCACCGGACTATTATATAAGTAATCGACGTCCAATACGAATGCCGCAAGGAAAGTTACTTAGAGCTACAGATCCGCAGTGTTCCGCACTACTATTACGACGTGTGTACGACGCGTATACGACGTGTATAAGCGAATGAATACTGCAGGCCGAGATTTCTATTAGACCTTCTAATGTAAGACTACATGCGCTACACAATGTGCATTAGCCACGTCCGCATCAGCCGCCGAGCGAACAGCGTGTCCACGCACACGGCGTCAAAACAAGCTTGTATTGACCTCCGCTGTTCGCCAGCACGCGCCAGGCATTCATCCCCTCTCACTTCAATAGATGGAGCTTTTCCGATGCCTCCTCCTCCCCCTCCTGTTGACTAGAGCGTACAGACATTATCTTTTTCACCACCAGTGCGAGAATCTGGCACGCGAATGTGCGCATGCGCACAAACGGTCGCGCGCACGTCGAGTCCCCCCCGCGCGCGCGTCATTGAACTGTGCATGGCATCAACAATCTAGAGGCCCATTATACGATCTCCAGGATCTATCAGTTTGTCAGGTTGCTTATCCACCAAAGGCAGTGTGTAACTCTATTCATGACTTGGAACAGACACAATGTATAGTAGCAATGATAGATTCACTCGTCACCAAGTCTTGTAGTGTAAATAAACGCATGTCTACCAGCTATATTATATAGCATCACAGACAGTATAAACAAAACCAGTGGTAACTGCTATATTATACAAAAACTCAGATTCATAAAATGTATGAGACCAGTGCTTGATGACTAAGATATAAACTGCTGAAAAATTACACATAGGTATATATATATACACACACAGACACACTCGAGAATGTCAGGTAACAAAGACCATGTTGTGAGCAGGGAAGGGACGGGGAGGGAGGGAGGAGGTTAGGAGCCCAGATTATTGAGTCTGCCTTCCTCATCAGGGTCCAGCAATCTCCTGGCAAGCTCTGCATCTCTCTCCTCCTGCAGTTACCAAAGACACCACCCAAAAAACTTTGACAGAAGACAGTTTACAATATCGGTCAATTACACCACAGCACAACAGACACATTTTCCCAATGTTTCATGTTTCCAAGGGTTCGAGGTTTCATATTGGTAAAGGTACACTTTGACACACAGTATATCACAACTAGACAGGCCCTGGCCTTTTCCAGTTGCCCACATTGTAGTATTGCAGACCTGTAGTTTTATCTCTTCTTCCTCCTTCAGTTTCTTGGCAATGAATCTCTGCCACTCCTCAGGATTCGACAGCTCAGGCAGCTCCTATACAGCAAAAAATCACACTTAACCCTTTGGACGCCATGGTTATCTGCTTAAATAAGCAGAAATTGATGTGTAAAGTTAAATAAAGGGTCAAAACACATTTAAGTGTTAACGCTTTCTTTTACTTCTCATCATGAGACGCTTTCCTTTAACAAATAGACACGCAATGCATCATACACATTATTCTGTTTCCCACACACAATACTGTGTATATATAAGCATTGAAACAAGGAGGTTCTGTGTGCGGGTTAAACCCTAACACATGACTTATCACGGTTCTACTTCTAGGGGAGAACCCTGAATGGCAGGTAATCAACGAGGTGGTTATGAGGAGAAATATCAACAATCTGCATATACAACGTTTCTTGCCAGGTTCTTTCACTCACTACAAAGGGAGATTTGTATGAACATACCTCATTTGTATCGGCGTACATGGCGAGAGCTAGCTGGAGGTCTTGGTCAACCAGAGGAGGCCGATTTAGCTCTTGCTGAAGTCTCCTGGCCATTTCTGCATCCTACGAATCACACAGGAGTGTAATTATACAGTTTAGGAAATGAGGTAATGTGGGTGTGGTCAGGTGACTTACAGCACTGATGTCATCAGTTGTCTGACCGGGGTGTCTGGTCTCTCTTGGATACTGGTGGGCCACTTCCTTGACCTCATTGATCTGTATCAGAAACATATACAACATACGCATGTACAGCCCCTGATAAGGACACAGACACCTTTCTTATATAAAAGAGTTGTCCAATACAAACACATTAGTGTATGTGCATATATACACGTCACTTGACTCATAGCCAAATTGTCTTATACATCAGAGAGATTGTCATACTGTACATTGCCTATTTAACATAACCAACTGAGAGCAATCAAACGTACTTCTCTAGTTTAGGAATTAGAGAAGCATAGGCCACTAAAAGAGGCTTGCTTCTACTTACAACCACTTTTTGTGAAATGCGAGTGTCGTATATACATGCAACGGACAGGAGTCCAGAGACCACAAGTACAGTCCATAATCGAGGATAAGAACACTGCTAACTGTCACATACAAACATGATGCAAGCCTCTAACAATCTTTCATCAATTCTGTTTAGTATTCACCAAAACTGGTTCAACTCCTGATATAATATACTGCATATTTTGCCAACATGCTCGTAATCGTAACAAAAGCTCCTCTTAATTCAGAGCTCTCTCTAGTCGTATATATCTTACCCTGTCTCTGGCCCTGCTAGAGGTCTGAGGGTTCGGCTGGCTACTCACCACACCCCCTCCGCTGTTGACCACACCCACCCCACCACTGACCACACCCACTCCACTAATCCCTGCTGGGTCACCACTCCCACTCCTAATGACACCAGGAAGACCAGCGAGTTGGGAATGCGAAGAGGAAGGAGGTGGTGGACGCTCTGAAAGATCATTGTAGCCTGTGTGCCAGAGAAGAGGAGAGGAGAAATACATACAGACAAGGGCTTCTTGATTTGAAGTTCTAGAGTTGTAGCAATGTCTGTGAACACATGCTATTGCCCACTTGCATGTAATAAAGTAGGGAAACATCACAGTACTATACAAGTAGAGAGACTCCATAAGCACAGCAAAAATGGAGAGGTCCCAACTTTACGCAAATCTATATAGGACCAGTCTATAAACTAGGTTTTCGACCTGTTGAAACTTACTAGTGGCTGCTCACCTTGCCCACTCTGGCTCCTTTCTCCGTGACTTCTGCCTCCTCCAGTAATGGTGCTTCTATTGAAGGATGGGGAGGAGGAAGAGTGAGGAAGGGGAGGATGTGAGGAGTGAGGAAGGGGAGCGTGGGAGGAGTGAGGAAGGGGAGGGTGTGAGGAGTGAGGAAGGGGAGCATGGGAGGAGTGAGGAAGGGGAGCGTGTGAGGAGTGAGGAAGGGGAGGGTGTGAGGAGTGAGGAAGGGGAGGGTGTGAGGAGTGAGGAAGGGGAGCGTGTGAGGAGTGTGGAAGGGGAGGGTGTGAGGGGGTGAACTGTGAAGTGTGCCCAGTGAAGACTGGTGAGTAGTTGTAGTCGTGAGAAGTGTCCTGGGCCACAGTGTAGGGTTGTGACTGAGGACCTGAAGATAATATATGTAGGAGAGGACAACACTTCTTCACCCCCCATACAACACACAAACTATAGTTGGAAAAAAATATCAGCAAAACTTTTGGTGAAATTTTAGTCGCACACCAACCACACACAAAGTCCAGTGGGGAACTTTTCAGGGAGAAAAAAAACGTTTGATGTTTGAGTTTGAGAGTCAATCGGCAAATTTTCAAATTCCACTGTATCTGTTCTTACCTGAAGGTTCAAAGCTCAAACTATTGGCACTCGCAGCGCTGGCAAACATATTATGTATATACGTGGTTTTCCTACGCGCAACAGCTAGCCACGCACCACGCACAGACCCTAGCAAAGTTGGTCCCTGTACAAACCAAATATTGCACCATAGAACTGTACATAATATTATGCATCATCTGTGTAAGACTGCTAGTTCAAATTCTAACAGTTTTTGTATTACATATCTGACGATGAAAGTGGCCACAACTCCGTCAGAAATACTCAAATGTTTTACAAAACGTCGCAATTTCCTCTTACAGTGACTCTCTTTTAGTTGTTCGCCAAAATGCATTAGTTCTAGTAAAATGTGGCCTTGTATATTATATACCTGTGTAATAAACGGTGCTGGCCCCATAATAACCACCAGTGCCTTCACTGCCACTAATATCAGGAGCAAACTGATGAGCGTATCCTCCATACGGCGACACAGTGGGACGCGGAGTGACGTGGGAATAGGAGGAGGAGGGAGGGTGTGAGGGTGGGAAGGCGTGGGACTGGGGGTGTGTGACGGTGTGAGAATGGTGATAGGAGGAGGAGGGAGGAACGGATGACTGGCTGGGCCCCTGCAACTCCTGCTGCGACAACCTGCAGAGTGCAGCAGAACTTTCGATAAAGGACACTCAGCATAAAAGACACACTTTGAGGTCCAAAACATTAAATTATTATAATGGAAAAATACTTGATCCCAACACATCAGATGTTCTACTGTGTAACATGGTGCACTGAAAACAGCAGATAAACACGAAAAGAAAGGGACAGTGGGACACCTGTTCTGCTCCTCTCTCATCCACTTCTGAAAGTTGACTTGTCTCCTCTCCAACTCCCTCTCAACGTCCATCAGCTTCATCTCCCTCTCCTCCAGCCTCCGCTCTCTGCGTTGACACACGTCGTCACAATGGATAACTAGACACTACGTTCCAATACATAATGTGAATGAACACCTCTACAAAACACTATATAGTAAGAGAGGAGACTGGTTCTTGTAAAGAGTCAAACTCAGGTATAGTAACAATGAAAGACAACTACCTAATAAGGTAACTGAGCGGTAACTTTCTCTACACACTTTGATAAGCCATATACAGTGGGTTTTCTTCATAATTATAATTCAGTACATCAAAATCATCAAAATCATGGGGGCATTCTATTATGCATATAGCTAAAGCATGACACTGCATAAAAATGGTGTCGACCCACTAGATACCAGTATGAATACTTGCAGACAAACGGTAAATACTATGAATTCACGTGTACATACCTACGTACGTATATATCTAAGTACGGTAGAGTAATTAGCATTATGCCCATACATTAAAGATTTCCAACTTTCACGTTCAGTTTTACACGTACATACCTCTCTCTCAGTTCAACCCTCGTTTCCTCCGAAGCATCTCCTCCGAAATTCTCGAGGTCAAACCTCTGATGGTCGAGGTCCTTCTTCTGCATGTGGAGCTGGTCGGCCAGTCGCTGTAGTCTGAGGTTCTCCTGTCTGTTGGCGGACTCTCTGTCGCTGGCCTCGTCCAGTTGCCTCTGCAGCTCCATCTCTCTCTGAGTGAGAGAGAGAGAGAGAGAGGGGAGAAGGGAGGAACCAGACTTCCATGGCCACCGTCCTGCTGTTTAGATCAACCAACACCTTTCCTGGGTTTTCAGATCAGTTTAAAACTTCGAATTCACACTTGGTTAAATTGAAGATAGCATGAAGAAAGCTTTGCCATAAAACAGAGCAGGTTTATGCTCTATATATAATATACTTGCATAACTATCTAGTAGTGTAGCTAGCCAGTGTCAGGGTGCTACGAAAGACCACTACAACAGCATGACCCCACCCATCAATTAGCGGAATGGGCCTGCGTATAGTTAGTGGTGTATTGAACTTCCCCCTGCCCAGTATTGGGCGCGGTCTTATGGATAAGTATAACTTGCAACAGTAAACCACCAAGTCTTGTTGTCCAAATGTATAATTACGTACATAGATGAGCGGTAGGACCCAGTAGCATCTCCTGTACCTGTAACTCAGTATCTGCCAATCTTGAGCTACCACAGTTCAATCACACAGATGTAAATATGTACGTACGTACGTACCTGTCTGAATACGTCGTCAGTGTGAAAGTCTGACTCGAGAGCAGTTTTCTGTCGCTGCCTCTCGTCGCAGACTGCGCTCAGTCTAGTCTCCTCTTCTCTCAACCTCTCTACTCTCTTCTCCAACTCTCCCTTCATCTGTATATAATACAACCAGAGTGTATGAATCAGGGTATGTCACTACTACGCAAATGCACATCAAATGATTCGACAACACACAGAAGAACAGTTTTGTAAAAAGAGCTGATCTTGGTGACTCCAATCCACGACACCTGCTCTCTACACGAGTGTTCTGGCCACTGAGGTACACAGCAGCTCAGCAGACATCCAACCCAACATAACACAAGTGTTCTGGCCACTGAGGTACACAGCAGCTCAGCAGACATCCAACCCAACATAACACAAGTGTTCTGGCCACTGAGGTACACAGCAGCTCAGCAGACATCCAGCACAACATAACACAAGTGTTCTGGCCACTGAGGTACACAGCAGCTCAGCAGACATCCAACCCAACATAACACGAGGCTTCTGGCCACTGAGGTACACAGCAGCTCAGCAGACATCCAACCCAACATAACACAAGTGTTCTGGCCACTGTACCAGCAGAATGGGCTCAACACAAGGCAAGGAAAACCCAAACTCTGTGCTAGTAAACAACGCAGATTGATCTTCTGCACATCGTAATAACTGGTTTGATTCTTTTTACTTTGTGTATTATACAGCTTGGTCCAAGTACTGAGTGGGGAGTGTGGTACCTTATTTAAGTGAGCAGTAGCATCTCTCTCCTTTTCTTCACGAGCTCTCTTCAGCCTGTTTTCCTCGTCTCTCAGTCGGTCCACCCTCTGTCTAATGCCCGCCTCCTCTTCCTTTAGCTCCCCCACCCTCTCTCTCATCACCACCTCCTCTTCGTTTAGCTCCCCCACCCTCTGTCTAATGCCCGCCTCCTCTTCGTTTAGCTCCCCCACCCTCTCTCTCATCACCACCTCCTCTTCGTTTAGCTCCCCCACCCTCTGTCTAATGCCCGCCTCCTCTTCGTTTAGCTCCCCCACCCTCTCTCTCATCACCAACTCCTCTTCTTTTAGCTCCCCAACGCTCTGTCTAATGCCCTCCTCCTCTTCCCTAACACCAGCTAGTCTCTCAGTCAGGGATTGTAGCTGGCCATTGAGGTCACTGTGTGCTGATGATGGAGGACCACCATCGCCGGCACGCTCCTGAGCCAGGGAGGGAGGGAGAGAGAGAGAGAGAGAGGTGGTAATGTTAATGAGTATAATAGAGCAAGTGCTAAAGGCCGATGCAATGTTTTTCTCGTGAGTTACACCAATGACTTTGAACAAAATCTTGTGATTGGCAAAATTTCTTTAACCACGATGAAGTTATGTTGTTCGCAAAACAGTAGGTAACTATATGCAATTATGCAAATAACATTGATCTGTATACAACACATGTCTTGATCTTGGGAAAGCATTCAACGCTGCTTCAGTTTCACGTTTAAGCCAAAGTCTATGCTTGATGTTTATTCCCTGCTCCTCTCCCTTTTCTCTTTCTTCTTCCCTCCCTCTCCCTCCCCTCTCTCACTCCCACAGCTCCACTCACAAGAGGCAGTGCTGCAGCCTGGTACAGGTCCTCGCTGTCAACCACACTAGTCCACGCTCTACCAGAGAATAGCGAGTCCTGCACAGGTATGGCCGGGACTACTGGAGGGACCTGGACCTCTGGGGGATAGAGATAGAGGCGAGAGAGAAAGAGAATGCATACCGAAGAAAATGGTACAAGAAAATGGTGGCACACACAATAAAGAATGGAGAGAAGGAAAAAGATCATAACTTAGGAAAGAAGGAACATCGTGTGTGTAAGACAAGGTACACCAAGTCCGGCCTGCACAACTATTTTCTCCTCGAGGTACAAAAGTAACACCAATCGCCAACGCACGTATATTATACCGCTTTCGGAGGCTCCTCTCAGTCTCTCGTACGGCGCTCCCGACGTCTCTGACTGAGCTGCTGCGACAGTTGCGGTAGTCCAGGCACTCCTGGTCCTGCGAGGCCGCGGCTTAGGAACGGGAGCCTGCAGCGGCTCATGATGATCAGCAGCAGCAGCACTCGAGTCGGCCATTTTCTCAAGTTTGGCTCCCCTAGGGAAAACCCCTTGCATGACGCAAGCGAATGGTGGTGTGGCTAACTAGCGCATGCGCATGCGCAAGCACCACGGCTATAAAAAAAAATCCTACATGGACCATACATCATTTTTACACGTATATTGCCTTTCTTCCACTTAGTTTACACTTGTGTACGTGTATAGTACCTACGTGCTGTAACATTATTTTTGACACGTTGTACAAATAATAGAATGATGCAAACAGTACTACAACAATGTATGCCGTGGAGTTAAAAATTGCATAATAGTATAATAGAGCCATTGTGTATCTCAGTACAAAAGAATGAAAGAGCAGCCTATAATAATACACAGGTAAAAAAGGCAAAAACCTACAAGTAAAAGCATCATAATACAATTGATCTACACGCTGCAGAAAATACTGCAAAAAAAATCAACTCTAGAGAGAAAGATGTCGGTAATGCAGAGATGGCGATGAAAGAGGGAGAGAGAAAATATGGTTTAGACAAAGAATTCGTTCTCCTTTGCAGCGGCTCGCTTTCCCTCCATGACCACGACACTCTGCGAGGAGATGGAGCGAAGAGATGCACTGTAGCGGAGCATCGTCGGGGCCGCCTGCGAGTCCTCGTGGGTGTGGTAGAACCCCTGTCGTTTGACCTGTTATGAGAAAAGAGGGTGGAGATGGGGAGAGGGGGAGAGAGGGGACATGGGTGAAAGGAGGCAAGAATGAAGAAAACGGAGTTGAATGGGAGAGAGAAAAGGGGAAGGAAAAGGGGTATAGGGAAAGAGGAAGAGGAGAGAATGAGGAACAAGAGAAAGTGCATAATTATCTGATTGTATGATTACAGTACACAGTGTGGAGAAATGAGTATATGCACACATCTCTTATCCTTTCCTTCCCTATGAACACTGATAAGACTCTGGTTGACTCACACTGACACTCCAGAGACAGAGACAGAGAGGGAGGGAGGGAGGGAGGGAGGGAGAGGTGGAAAAAAAGACTAACGTTGACACTCCATATACAGAGGCAGACGATGCAGAGAACAGCGAGGATGACAGCCAACAGAGCTCCACCCACACTCGCTCCAACTATCAGTGGCAGCAGATTGCTCCCTGGTTCGTCTGTTGTTAAAATTGTGAGAATGAGGAGGGTATCATGTCAACACAAGGCAAGTGCACATCAAACAATTCAACTTTGTTCTCAAAGGAAACGGAGCTGCCCTGAGTGGGTAGGGGAGTAAAATGTTCAACAGTCTGATATCTAGGCAGTGTATGTATGGCCACTGCAGAGGGTTGACCTTACACAAGGCAGTGATCCCTTCCCCCAGCCCTTGCTCTCCAGTCTTTGGTTCTTATTGAGCTGTTTATAGTGATAGCCAATCCCCAATCTTATGGAGCCTGTACTTTTGGCTGGCTCTGTGTGAGTGCCCCATAGAGGTGTATGTAGCCCCTTACCTGCATCATTGTCAGTAATGGTGACTATGGTAAAAACGTCGCCATCTACTTCGAACCGGGGATCATCTGGACTCACTTTAGTCATTGTTAGCCTGCGTGGAGGTAGAGAGACGGAAGGAAGGAAGGAAGGGGAGAGAGTGATGGAACGATAAAGTTCAGTGTCACTTGAATCACATGACTGAGTCAATAGAGGGGTGGAAATACGATACTAATGTACTATCACATGCTGGTTTCAAAGTCGTAGCTCAAAGTACGAAGTTTGAAGGTGGATAGGGTCAGTTTTTCTGAACCGACTGGTTCACTTCTCTGCATGTGCACAAGAGGTTATGCTTTTGGTCTATTGTCATTGTCAGCACTAAAATCGCAAGATATGGGTATATATTGGTGCCTGCATACGTTTTAAAGGCGGCTAAACGGCAAAAACCGGTGTCGGTGTGCTTGGGGTCAACGACACTTACGTACCACAACGGCTAGAAAAACAGCTACAAATGTTGGATAATTTGGCCTCGCCTATCAATTAACGTGTACGCATACGTGCACAAATAACTGGCGAATGAAGCGAGCCAGCGGGCCGAAATTTCCATTCCTTTCACTCCGGCTATGCCACATCGTAATGTCCTATGTCATTCTAAATCACCGACAGCCACCAAGCTTGATATATACAACAGCTCACGCTCACTCGCCAACAATGCGTGGTCAAGTTACTAGCCTGCAGGAAGTAATCACTTCACTATAAGCTAGATAAGCTATCAAAGTCACGCAACAACATATAAGTGCCTCTGGAGGAGCTACAATAACAAAATCATGTGTATATATACGCCAAACATTAACTCTTATGTCTTACAAAACTCTGAAAGAACCCTTAGCACTCAGTACATCCTAAGGGTGTGTATTCCTCTATTACACACAATACCGCGCAGGATATGTGCTCTCCTGAGCTCTAACTCCACCTGTTTCTCTTGCCCTCATATATTATGTTACATATGGTAAGTTATAGTTGAACATGTAGTCTGACCTGTACTGTTCGTCCACATCCTCGACCTCACTGTCGTCAGAGGGGGTAAACGAGAGGCAGCTCCCGGTATCATTGGGTGGAATTGTAACCTCTACTGACAGAGTTCCCAGCTCTGCAGCGGAATTAGCTCCACTGTCTAGACTCAACTCTGCAGTACATGGAGAGATAGAACACTTCGGCCACTTCAAAAAAACCTTCTAGCTTCTGAATGTGGCAGCACGTATGAGCTAAATTTGGAAATGTTACGACGGCAGAAAGTCCCAGTGCCAACTAAGTTCCAGTTTCAGAAGAGACTCTAAACTTAATACAACAGCCACATTTCCTTTAAAATGCAAACCAAGAAAACTTTTTTGGGGAAATGAAAGGTGTCCTTCGATTATGGTTCTCTAATTATCCACTGAGCTATCTCACCTCCAGTAACCATGACAGTCACATTCCGCACAGCAGCAATACTCAGAACCACGCACACTTGAAACGTGCCCTCACCCTCACCCACCACGTAATTAGTCTTCTCAAACGTTGCGTGTACAACTGAGAGAGGAGAGTGACAAGACAATAAACAACTCTCCCTATATACACCACACACCCATACATACATGTAACAATAGACCATGTGATGCCAAGAGAGAAAAGAGAAGATGGGGAGCTCTGGACAGCTGTTTCTGGCTTGTTGGCCCTCATCAGCAAAGCATACCACAACTTCTCTCTCTGGCATCACGAGTTTATAAAGGCAAAGTTGAGCGCAGCACTTGTGCATGTATATGTACACATATTCATCTGTACATGTAGCACAGCGCTGTAGAAGAATTGCAAGGGAAAAACTTGGATACACTGAAACAAATTTGCGGAAAGGGATTAGAGGCCGACACAGACAGTGCAACTTTCTTGTATGAGACATCAACCTTCAGTTGCATCACCAACACACGTTGCATGCAATACACACATCTTTTGTTTTCAGGCTACTGGTTACATGGACTAGATCATGCCCATACATTGAACAGCAACGATTTCGCATTTTTTGTATGCACGTGAGCGGAAAAAGAGACAACCCAACTATCCTTAATGCTTTGACTAAAGTTGGAGTATGGAATGGTACTGTCTTCTATCTCGCTGCACCTGTATCCCTATCTCACCCGAATTTTGCTGTCCCCCCAAATGTGGGTGTCAACGATCAGTTGCTTGTCTCGTGCAAACAGTGATTTGTGCAGTGTATGATGTCAACAACAAAGCAAAGCAAATGGTGAACAAGTCAACTACACCCAAGACAACCCTTTTCCAGGAAAGAAGAAAAGCTGCCCTAGGTGGGATTCGAACCCACGACACTCTGCAGTATGCATGCCTTAACTAACCATCGTCGTCAGTGACCAGGATCATGGTGGTATCAGTGACTGTTGGTGTGTGTACTCATGGAGACCATGAACTGCCTGGTGTCCTGTAGCCCCAGGGAGTCATTGTAGCCACTGACGTTGAAGGAGAAGGAGGGGGCGGAGCTGGTGAGCTCCAGTTCAGACGTAGAGGCCGAGAGAGCTACAGGGAGATGTAACAGACACTGTGGAACATCTGATAAGGGACCCTCCGAGATATTGAGGACCTCTCTACAAAGGACACTTGTTTCAACCCCATGCTAATAGACTTCACAGTGGAACATCTGATAAGGGATCCTCCGAGATATTGAGGACCTCTCTACAAAGGACACTTGTTTCACACCCTGCTATGAGACTGCACAGTGGTGGAATCATCTGATAAGGGACCCTCCGAGATATTGAGGACCTCTCTACAAAGGACACTTGTTTCAACCCCATGCTAATAGACTTCACATTGGAACATCTGATAAGGGACCCTCCGAGATATTGAGGACCTCTCTACAAAGGACACTTGTTTCAACCCCATGCTAATAGACTTCACAGTGGAACATCTGATAAGGGACTCTCCGAGATATTGAGGACTCTCTACAAGACACTTGTTTCAACCCCATGCTAATAGACTCACAGTGGAACATTGATAAGGATCCTCCGAGATATGAGGACCTCTCTACAAAGGACACTTGTTCAACCCCATGCTAATAGACTTCACAGTGGAACATCTGATAAGGGACCCTCCGAGATATGAGGACCTCTCTACAAAGGACACTTGTTTCAACCCCATGCTAATAGACTTCACATTGGAACATCTGATAAGGGACCCTCCGAGATATTGAGGACCTCTCTACAAAGGACACTTGTTTCAACCCCATGCTAATAGACTTCACAGTGGAACATCTGATATAGGGACCACTCCGAGATAATGAGACCTCTCTTACAAGGACACTTGTTTCAACACCCATGCTTCTAATAGACTTCACGCATTGGACAATGCTGATAAGGGACCCTCCGAGCTATTGCGGACTCTCTACACGAAACAACTTGTTTCAACCCATGCTAAATAGACTCACAGTGGAACATCTGATAAGGACCCTCGCGAGATATGCGGACCTCTCTACAACGGACACTGTTTTTGCACCCCAATGCTAACGACTCCCAGTGAGAACATCTGAGAGGGACCCTCTGAGAAAACGTGACGGTGTATGCCTAGCAGTTTAGCGACAACTCCCTACACGAGGTGGTACATTACATTCTGGGGGGATAGTGACAGCGAGTCCTGCATTTCTCCGTAGAAGGGCTTGCCATACTGGTGTAGCTTAGCAATCTCCCTCAGACTCTGTAGTGAAGGAATACTCGTCTTGGGAGAAAGTCTTCAAGTTGCACAGGGTTTAGTGTGAAATCTTGTACCTGCAGACGACATGGGGAATGGTGAGTACTTGAGGGCCATATAAGGAAGAGGGTGAGAGGTTGGAGGCGAACTTGTGTCTGATCCCGTCGACCTCTTTGTGCTGTCTCGGCGTTCTTATCCTGCGGGAGCAAGGGCTGGCGCGGTTGGCGTGCGCTGCGGTGAGTCTTCTCTTTCTATTAAACTTCTTCTTACTGATTCGTGGCGTGTCACTGTGCCTGTTTATCGTACCTTGCGGGATCATGCGTTTTTGCTTTCCCTTCCTTTCTGCGCATTCCTTCCGGCTGTCCATCCGTCGAATGTGGGAGGAATAACTAACACTTATATCCAATCAAGATTTCCTTTCAAATGCGTAAGGAATGGGACGATATTGCGAGCAAACAACGTTCCTTTCCTCACACATCAACAGCTACACACCCCTACGTACGAGATTTACAATCTCAACGTAGCTACACACATCGTAGTACACACGAAGTCTGTAAATGCATCACGAAAATAATTTGCGGTGGTATGCAAAGCAAGATCGAATTCGGTAATTTATACTTCTGAAAGGAAATCCCAAACCCCACACGTGACAGCGATAAAATAGCACCAACTTGCAACCCCCAAACACAATTGTCACCTACTGATAACATCACCTCTACAAAATCATCTCAAACAATATTGTTCTACCACATTCCCAAGGGCAAGAAAACAAATTGGTTACTACAATTAGTGTAAGCTGCTAAATTACATTTGGAGAACAAAAATTAGGTGCTTACTCTAATGCACATTGCCCAAGGTTCAAAAGTACAAGGAGCACCTTGCTAGGTCATGAAGTTGACTGCAGAGCTAACCAAGCAACCGCCCAGAACTATTGTTTATCATTAGGGTATCAATTTGATTACAACCCAAACTTAATTGGTGATTTGTATTTCCCTTGACGTAGCCGCTAGAGGATACGAGTGAAGTGAAAGAGTAGGAAGAAGGCAGATTAGAATTAAACGAAGGAAAAAAAAACAATAAGAACAGAGACCGAGGGAGGGAACGGGAAAGTTGCTCCGACTTGGTTTGTAGAGCCGTAGGCAGAGACGGACAACATATCAGGGAATAGGATAAGAGACGGAGAGATGAAAGTTGTTAAGTTGAAGTGTGGGGCCATTTAAAAGGGTAGGAGGATGGGACAAGCTTATAGTAGGTAAATAAGGAAGGCGAGGTAATATATGGGATAGAAATACTGCGAAGGGAAACGGGGTAGGAGCACATGACTAGGGAGGAGTACATACACCATATGTTCGGCAACATCTTCAGTAACACAAGCAGCACTTTATGCAAAACCCTCGGGGCTATTACGCAAGGCTACGTGCGTGCAGGTAAAATTACGCACAGGGCAATCAAAAGCATTATTGCGAGGGGGGAGTGTTTTTGGTCATTATCTTTTCGGGCAGGGATATAGGATAACAGAAGAAGGAAAGATTCCTTAGGTAATTACTTGCATAGAAACAACTAACGTGAGGGCGACGCTCTTGAACTCTACGATAACTTGTACAGGATAAACAGGCAACCTGTGAAATTTTGCCTTCGTGTAGGTATCAATACTATATACCTCAGGTTTCTACGACACATATGTGAAGCGGATCGTGGCTTTCAGCTTTTTGATCAGTGTAGTGCTACTCTCTCTTTCTCCAGCTTTAAGATGCCGTCTCATTCACTCCTTTTTTCTCTTTGTGCCACCGAACCACTCGTAAATTTGGTTTGTGCTGATCGACTTCCTCCCCGACTATATTATGTGATTACCTGCTCATACCGCTCCTTCTCTCCTAAAATGCGTGGGGTGGGGTGGGGGGTGTGGTGTCTACAGGCCCATGCACGATGTAATTTTGTATGCATATTGTACCACTTTAACCTTATGTCGTCTTGATTGTAGTCACTCTGTATACTATTTCTACTGTTAAGGGTACTTTATCTACCATCGTGATCCGCAGTATCGCTGACCAGCCCGTGGTATACAATATTTCGGGGTAAGTCTACGACCATTATCCTCTGTTAAGGCTTCAAGGGCTGGGTTCACTCGGTTTGCTCATCTCTTACATTTTTTTGGCCTCGTTTCCATCCTTTCCAGTTCAAAGTATACTCAGTTCGCCTGTTGTCCCACATTTCCCATGCTTGGTGTCGCACGCTTCGTCTTGGTCTGACTTTGCGTCTGTTCCGTACTTCCTCTCCTCTACATTCCCCTACCTGTTCTCTCAGCGCCATCACCTGCACACACATGTAGATGGCAAGTCATGACTTCTCAGGCTTGCCATGTGCCTACTCGCTGTTCTGGTGCACTTAGTGGTTAGATTATGCCTTATCTCTCCTTCTCTTTAGTACCGTCCTTTCCATGTCACTGGGAATTTGCTAATGGAAATGCTATCTACAAAGTGGAGGAGGAGGAGATAGAGGGTAGGAAATAGTGGAGGAGAGGGCAAGGGAGTAAGTGAGCGTGAAACTATGGATTTCATGGTGGCGGTAGGTACTGTACTTTATCAGAATCCGCACAAGCTTGAGAGCCAATTACTGGCTAAATTGATCAGTCACAACACACACACACACACACACATTGGGGAGTAAGTGGGCAGTTGATCACATGCTGCGTGGGGTGGGGGGGTGAGTAATTACCACAACTAAAACAAACTAACTACTGAATCAATGTAGGGCTTTTTGGCCGGCCAAGTTTTAAAAATAGTGCATGCTGTCCAATGCAGAGTAATAGTTTTTGAGATACGTACGTGTGCAAGAAGCCCACACGAACAAGCAAGTCTATATAGCTCTTGCCATAGGTCCACCTGACAGAGTCACACGTCGAAATAAAA